GTGTGAACTCCGACCTTGTGGTTCAAACTGACCTTGCAGACCAGTGCATTATCCTGCAGTGCCACACCAGGGCTCTCTTATTCCATTAGAGATACATATTTAGATGTTAATGTGAATATTTACCCAATAACAGTGGTGGAAATAAGTATTGTGGGCATTCAACAGTAGGAGGGCAAGAAAGTGTTCTCTAATTAATAATGAAAAGTTTGCTACCAAATTTCTTTTTAGCAAGCATAAAAATGAAAGGAATTAATAAATTCAGTTATCAACACAAGTACAATATCTTTGGAGGATAATTACCTGGATTGTAAAACTTTATGTACATAACATTTTCAAATAAAAAATCTAGCCTATTTCACAGCAAAAATTACAGTCTAAAAGTTAACTGTGAGGTCATAGTCACGTAACTATTTATATGCAGGAAGGCCACCACCATACAGTCCTAGCCCACTAACTGCTTTAGAAAGCTGTCTTCTTCAAACCATGTGTGTGTGTGGGTAACAGCTTACAGCATGGGCCTTGGAGTCAGACTGCCTGGCCTCCAATCGGCCTCTGCGCTTAGTTTGATCTGGGAAAATTACCCAGTTACATCTCTGTGTCTCAGTTTCTTCATCTGTTAAATGCAGATGATAAAATGTGGTTCATCGAGTCATTCTCAGAGTTGAATGTGGTAATTCAGGTAAAGTAATCCATAAACATTAGCCTTGGAAACCATTAACTATATTGGTCCATTGCACCGAGGTTAAGGAAATGAGTCATCATATAATCTTAGAGTTGAAAGGATACTTGAGTAGTAGCTGTCCCATCCTCTCTTCCACTGAAAGCTCAAATCCTATGGCAGTGATTCTCTCCAGATAACGTGATCACGAGGTCCCTACTTTTGACCTGTGGGTCACACTGTGTTCCCCCTACGTTTTCCATCTCTGGAGTTTAGTGAAGGGGCCCTTGTGGTGCAGTGGACTAAGCACTAGACTGCTAACTGCAGTCGGTGGTTCAAACCCAGCAGCCACTCCACAGGGGAAAGATGAAGTTACCTGTTCCTGTAAAGTGTCAGAATCTCCTTACAGAAGCTCTATGTTGGAATCGACTCAGTGGCAATGGGTTAGGGGCTTTAGGTTGGGGGTTAGTGAAAGGACCCTGGTGGTACAGTAGTTAAGTGCTCAGCTGCTAACTGAAAGATCAGTGGTTTGAGGCCACCAACCACTCAGCTGGAGAAAGCTGTGGCTGTCTATCATAAAGATTCAGTCTTAGGAATTCTATGGGACAGTTCTACTCTGTTGGATAGAGTCCCTGAGTCAGAATTGACTCAGCACCTCCTTTAGGCGTGGGGTTTAATGGAGAGCTACTATCCCACTTTTATGTGGTCCCGGTGTGACACTGTAGGATACGAACTGGACCACAAGGTCAGTTTGAGCTGCAAACTTGGTGGTTCAAACCCACCATCCATTCCTCAGAAATCCTATATAGATTGGTCACATCAGTCAGAACACACTCAATGGCACTCAACTACAAAACCTGAATAAACAGACTTCATTCCACCCCAGCACTAGAGATTGCACTGTTGTTGTTAAGTGTCACTGAGTTGGTTCCAACTCATAGTAAATCCATACAGGGTTTCCAAGGAGCAGCTGGTGAGTTTGAATTGCCAACCTTGTGGTTCAAACTGACCTTGCTGTCCAGTGCGTTATCCTGCAATGCCACACCAGGACTCCCACTAGCTGTATCAAAAACCATTTAACCTCCAAAAAAATTCATTTCCTTCAAAGTATCTTCCATTACGAGAAACACAATGGTTTCAACAAAAAATTCAAAGCTGAAAATAATCCAGTCTTGAAAAGATTCAACACAGCCACTGAAAGCAATGCCAGCGAAAAGTAGCTGTTAGAAAGAGCTCGAACCTGCTTTCATCGTAAAACCTTCTGTTGCCAGATGCCCACAGCAGAGATGATGTCCTTCTGCGTGCCAGGTTCCCAGGCATCTGCATGTGACTCCGGCTTCTCCAGGACAAATGTTTCCAACACAGTTCGGTGAGGATTTCTAACCTGGATTTGGCAGCAACTCAGTCTTTGAATAATCATTTTTATGACTTTACAAAAAGACTCAAACTTACTGCCATCAAGTTGATTTTGACTCATAGCAACCCTGTTAGTGTGTTTTGTAGGAGCAGAAAGCCTCATCTTTCTCCCAAGGAGCAGCTAGTGGTTCAGCGCTCATCTTACAGTGCCACCAGAGCTCCTTTTAGAAATACTATGGTAGCGTAGTGGTTACGAATCGGGCTGTGAACCTTAAGGTCAGCGGTTCGAAACTACCAGCTGCTCTGCAGGAGAAAGATCAGGTTTTCTACTCCCGTAAAGATTTACAGCCTCGGAAACCCTGTACAGGGTCGCTATAGGTCGAAACCGACTCGACAGCACTTAACAACAACAACAATATTGTGTAAACTAAAGTGAACATTTAAAAGTATTAAGTATGTATGCATTTCTTCAAATAAGCATTCGTAAAAATAGGGTTTCCAAAGAGCATCTGGTGGGTTTGAACCACTGACCTAGTTGATCCTACAGCGCCACACCAGAAGTCCCTGATTGTTGTTGTTGTTAAATGCTGCTGAGTTGATTCGGACTCATAGAGAGACCACATACAGGATTTCCAAGGAGCAGCTGGTGAGTTTTCACCACCGACCTTGCAGTTCAAACCGACCTGTGATTGTGCATTATCCTGCAGTGCCACACCAGTGCCTATCAGTCCCTAATAAAGGGTTTCAAAAAGTTCTATTACCAGTATTAATTCCAGTTGTTCCATGAATTATTAGAAGCCTGTCATATAACCAACATTTCTGGAGATTGTGAGAATTGTCCTGGGCAGTTCAGGGTAGCACAGAGGGCTCCAGAGAGAATGTTAACAGTGACAGCCAGAAGTGACTATTTGAATTTTGTGCTCAACTAAACTTCACTTCTCCAGGTCTGAAAGTCTAATAGTTCTGCACAGGATAAATCTTAATTTTTATTGATAATATCTGGAGGGAGAACACCCGACTGACACAAATCCAAGTAGAAACAGACAACACCATTGTGATGTAGAAGGAGGAAGCATCATATTTTCCTGGATCCTCACAGTCATACAGATGACCAGTGTGCATACTGATAGAAGAGTGACCCCTGTTATTCTGAGTATCTAGATAAAGCTACAGGTATTTAAAAGGCACGCTGAGCATCAGCTCAACTCATAGCAGTAGTCTCAGGTAGAAGACCCTAGACACACACTTTACTCATAGGGACCGTGGGTGTTTACACTGAACAGAACGTTTGCCCCAGGCACTGGAACTCTTCTTCATTCTCTCATTCATTTTCTTTGGAGGGTTCATTTTTCTGAATCAGCCACACTTCATTATTGCTATTAAGTGATTCAAAAGGACTGCTGTAGCCTGCAGTGTAGTAAACTTTTTCATTGAAAACTTTTCCTTCTTCCCTCAAAATGTTTGCTAATGTCAAAAGTTGTTCTTGATTCTTTTGGGCACTAGAGGAGCCATCGAAAGACCTATGAAGGAGAAAGTCAATCAGCATGAATGATGTCTCAACAGGAGCTGTTACCATGGAAGCTGTATGTGGTGCAGCTTCTCTTCCTCTGTTCCCATGTGATACCACACACACACACACACACACATGCACATGCACACGTGCCCCCAGGAAACCCCGCAGGGCACAGATAGCCTGTCTGCTGACTGAATTAGGATGGACACCATCTCAAGTGCTTCTCAAACACTAAATATGCACATGAATCACCTGCGATCCTGCTAAAATGTAAGTTCAGGAGGGCTGGGGAGAAGTCTGAGAGTCTGCATTTCTAACAGGCTTCCAGGTGATATTGATGTTGATGGTCAGGGTAACCACTTGAATCCATTTTAAAGGCACCCCCAGACTTGATTTCCTACTGAACATTGGTCCTTTCTGCCTCTCCGTGGGAATCGGCAGGTACTGGACTAGAGAAGAATATGATACAGTTTTGACTTATGAATGTATAGTCTAAAGGAAGACACAGATATTTTGGCAGCTTGCTGTATATACAGCCTGAGAAGGATTTTTACAGAGATAAAATCAAAGAGCTATGGGAACACTGAAGATCTGATTCAATCAGGGCAAGGGGTATGATATCTGAGTTGAGCCGGCAAAGGAGGATGGTTTTGTTGGGAAGAGAATGCATCCCTAACAAAGAGAAGGCGATCAAATAAGCAACAGCTGTCCACAAAGACCAAACATTTTCACAGTGAGGCATAAAATGAGGCCAGACAGGTGAGCAGAGCTGGAAGGGAGAAACTTGTATATCATCCTAAGACCTTTCGAGGTTATTCCAAAGGATGTTGAACAGAAAAGTAACTTGATCAGTTCTGGAAAGAACACAGACAGGTAAATGGAGAATAGGTTCTAAGGTAAAGGCCAAATGCCGGAGAGTCATGAGGCTGCTGTGGCAATAGAGGATAAAGAACAGTGAAAACATTTAAACAAAAAGTGGAGTGAAAATAAGGAAAGTTTAAGCACAGATTTTAAAGTATGTTTAAAAAGGAAAAATAACCTGAGATTGAATCAAGTAACTGATGTAGCTGAGGTGCTAACATGTAAACACAATGATTCTGATTTTGAAGGTTAAGAAGAAACACAGAAAGACAAAATTCCTAATAATCTTTCTCGAGTGTCAGTCTGATTAGTTATGCACCAGTGGAAAAGATTAGTCTGCCCTAATGCTTCAAATGTGATGTAAAACTATAGATGACATCTTTTTAGTCAATGATGTGTACCCAGCACCTAGAAATAGTGCTGACATGCCAACAAAACAAAACACACCATTTGACATGAAGTCAATTCTGACTGAGGGCCTGTGTGTCAGGACAACTGAGTTTTCAATGGCTGGCGTTTTGCACGTGGATCTCCAGGGTTTTCGTCTGATGCACGTCTACATGGACTTCAAACTGCAACGTTTCATTTAGCAACAGAGCATCTAAGTTTTCATACCACCTAGGGCTCCTGGCATGCACTGCCCTTCACATCCTTGTTGAGTAAGTGTATGAAGACACGTACGCACATGTGTGTAAATCAAAACACTGCAGGGATACTGCGAAAACGGTCCTGTAATTTTTACCCTGTGGACTGATTATAATTCTGGACCATGTGTGACAAACTTTCTGATTCTTAAATTTCTAATTTATTTCCTTGTGAAGAGCCTTTTTTTTTTTTTTTTTTTTTTAGTCTACCTAAAGGAAATGTATTTTCAGATCCCATCTCTTCCTTGAAATCATATCTTGGAGCCCCTAAACAAGATATTGTTTGTCCTCTGAACATGTTCTACAGTGACCACTGCTTTGGTCAGTACATGAATGTGTACTGAGCCCCACTAAGGGAGTCCTAGTGTGGCACAGTAAGATAAACACAAGACTATTAACCGCAAGGTCAACAGCTCAACCACACCAGCTGCTCCAAGATTTTCTGCTCCCATAAAAATTAAAACCCAGAAACCCGATGTAGAGTCACTATGAGTCAGAACCAACTCTATGGCAGTGAGTTGTGGTTTGGTGGGCTTGCCAAGCTAGGAAGCGGAGGTTAAGCATATAGTCAAATTTGTGACGAACTCAGTTATCATGATTTAGGTAATAATGGAGAAGGACCCAGCGGATAGAATGGCTGTCTGACTGGAGCAACTGAGGAGGAGGCACAACAGAGAAGGTGACACTTGAGGTCTGAGTCCTGAAGGATGAAAACAGATTTTCCAGAAAGAGAAGAGGCAGGGGCCCTGAGTAAGTAACACTATCAAGTGCATGTTCTAAATCAGTTTTGTTGTTTAGTGCTGTAGAGTCGGTTGCAACTCATAGCAACCCTGGATAGGGTTTCCAAGGAGCGGTTACTCTCCATAAATTAACTCATTTATCGTCACAGCAACTCTGTGATAGGTTGTTGTTGTTGTTAAGTGCTGTCATGCCGTTTCTGACTCATAGTGGCCCTGTGTAGGGTTTCCAAGGAGCGCTGGTGTGTGTGAACCACCAGTCTTGTGGTTCAAACTGACCTGGGACCCCGTGCTTACCCTACAGTGCCACACTAGAATTATACAGGCGCCTTTCAGTGGCACAGTCAAGCACCTGGCTACTAACCAAGAGTCTGGCCGTTCGAACCTACCCAGAGGCATCTCAGAAGAAAGGCCTGATGGTTTGCTCCTTAAAGCCCACACTTCTGAAAACTCTATGAAGCATAGTTGTCCTCTGCACACGTGGGGTCACTATGAGTTCGGCTTGACTCTATGGAAACGGATACTGGTATGATTCCTGAATTTTCTCATAGAGCACACCCACTAAAAAAAGTTCACGTGCATCCATCGGTAGGAAACTAATGTGTGTGAAGGCTGAACAGTTTACAAAAAATCTGGTATGAGGCACATATTATTTGTGAAAAAATATGGCACACACATTTTAGAAATCTAGAGATTTGGACAAAGAAAATTTGAGTAACTTGCCTGAGGTCAAAGATAAAACAAAACAAAACAAAAACCCAAACCCGCTGCTGTTGACTCGTAGAGACATTATAGGGCTCATAGAAACATTACAGGACTTACAGAGACATCACAGGATTCATGGAGACATCACAGGATTCATAGAGACATTACAGGACCCATAGAAACATTCTAGGACTCATAGAGACATTACAGGATTCAGAGACATCACAGGACCCATAGAGACATTATAGGATTCATAGAGACATCACAGGATTCACAGAGATATCACAGGACCCATAGAGACATTACAGGACTCACAGAAACATAGAATTCATAAAGACATTATAGGACTCATATAGACATTATAGGACTCAATAGAGACATTATAGGACAGAATAGAACTGCCCCATAGGGTTTCCAAGGCTGTAAATCTTTACGGAAGCAGACGTGCTTCTCCCACAGAGAGGCTGGAGAGTTCAAACTACTGACTTTTTGGTTTGCTTAACCACTGTTTCATCAGGACTGTGGTCCAAAGGTAGAGACATGTAGAAAAACATGGCATGTTCAGTGACAGATGAGAATGTCAGTGTAGGACAACTACAGGGGGGAGGGGTATCACTGGGTTGGGCCACACAAAGGGTGTTGTGTGCCATGTGAACAATCTGAACTTCATCCTGGAAGCAACAGGAAACCAGCAGAGATTTTTTAATGGTGTGGCATGTTGGGACTTTTGTTGTAAGACAGATCACAGGTTCCAGTGTGCAGGGAGAAAGAGGACTGGTGGCAGCAACACCCAGGAGGCTACTGCAGTGGAAAGAATTCGTGGAGATCAATTTGAGTATCTCTTGAGTGCCAGACATTGGGCTAAGCACTGGACAATAAACAGATGATTTAAATGTGATTCTTATGAAATGAGGACCTGAGAAAATAACAATGAGGATGAAGAGAGGGAGCCAATGAATCATTTCTGAGCCGAATAGGCAGTTATCTGTGGGCCGGTTGTCAGGGAAAAGGGTGTTGTTCCATGAAGGTCCCCTGAAGGGAAGCTATCAGGCTGATGAGATCCTTTAGTAAGACAGGCATTGGGAGAGTCGAGAAGGTTTGGGAGTCGGGGGAAGGCTCATGTTTAGAGTCTGACACTCCCTCAAATGGAGGGAAACCAGGGCTGGAGACACTTGAGAGATTTGAGTCATTCAATATAGATAATTGAGGCATGTCTTCCTATGAAACAAGGGCCAGGAATGGTAGCGTAGTGGTTACAAATCGGGCTGCGAATCGTGAGGTCAGCAGTTCAAAACTACCAGCTGTTCCGCAGGAGAAAGATGAGGCTTTCTGCTCCCATAAAGATTTACAGCCTCGGAAACCCTGTACAGGGTCGCTAATGAGTCAGAACCGACTCCAAGGCACATAACCAACAAACCAACCAATGGTCACCAACAGTGAATCCTGGGGTGGGTAGTGGAGCAAGGCTCAATGGAGGAAAGAACCAGGAGGAGAAGAAAGAGAAGAGCATGACATTCTCAAAGTTAGCAGAGGAACAAATATCAAGGGAACAGAAATGTCAACACTCAAATGTTGCAGGAGTCATGTGGGAGGGGACTGAAAGCATGTGCCAAACAGAGGGCACTGCTAAAGATGACAAGGGCACTTCCAAGGAGATGGAGGGAGTTGTACCAGATTGTGATGGTTTCAGGAATACATGGGGTTGAGGAGAGAGTCGGTTTAGCAAGTTGGTGGTAATGGGAAGAAAAGAAACGTATTAATAAAGAGAATACATGGTCCAATACAGTAATATATTCATGTCCTGTGTTTAAAGTATTTTTCTTCAGATCTAACTAGACTACACAAAAAGGATGGTCTTATGTTGTTGTTTTGTTTTATATGTAATTTGTATTTCATCTTCAATGTAGAAGGTACACAAAATACTTTTCATTAAATACATTGATTATACCTTGAGACACATCTCAGTAACATACAACATGAAGCCAGAAGGAACACATCCTGAAATGCATGAGAACCGTGTTTGTGGGCAGGTAAATAGCCTGCTGAAACAGGATAGGAGCTAAGCTATGAGTGTACACGGCGAAAAGTAGCAGTCAGTAGGGTTATAAATTATCTACCACTTACCGTACAAACACAGTCATTTCAGCTCTGTCTTCAATGAAGACATCTGACTCTGAAGGCTTGGGCGGATCGGATTGCTGTTCAGAGGGGATATAAAGGGAAATGGTAACGGTAGACAGGCTGAAAGGGCCTGAACCGGGTTCCACGTAGCTTGTCATGGGAGCAGTCATCTTTATTTTCATCTCTGTTTCATAAAAACACGATTCAATACAAATGAGAGAATGAAAGCATAGTTAGTATGTTTATGACTACTTCCATTTAACTTATTATAGTTTGATCTGCTTTTCTTGATTTACTTTACACCATTGACAGATTTACTTTAACAAATTCTTCACCTTTAAAATACAAGGCCATTTATCAATTATTCACTGATCACGTTAAACACTTTTGCTATTCATACTTTTGGTTAACAGCTTCTACAGTTTTAGGGATAGAAGAGAAATCAGAGAACACGTGGTTCAGTCCCTTCATTATTTTTTATGATTCAGAAACTAAAGTGCCATATGCTAAGTGACCTGTTCAGGTGTAAATAACGGCAGAACCAGAACCTATATTTTGAGACTTCCACTCTTGGGTTCTTTTCAACTTCCTGCCTCAGTCACTAAATTACATGTATCTTGAAGCATCAGCTATGAAAAAGGACTCAAAGTTACACAGAGCCTCACTTCATCTAGCAAAAGCACAGAAAACAGACTGAAGAATATTACCCAGTATTCTTCTCCTCTAGTTGGCACTGAAATCCTGGGGTGGTGCTGTGGGTAAATGCACTGGACAGTAAGGTCAGTGTGAACCACAAGGTTGGCAGTTCAAGCTCACCAGCTGCTCCTTGGAAACTCTATACAGGGTCACTATGCGTTGGAACCAACTGATGGCACTTAACAACAACAAAGGAACTAAGTGTTCTGAGGACGGACATTCGATGTTTTGAGCCACTAAACCATAATAGGTCCAGTTATTTTTCTATTATTGAGGCTCCTTCTCTAATTAGCTCATTAATAAACCAGGGGACTCAACCACAATATGCACAATTGCAAGGTAAATGGCTTTTACCTCTCTCATTCTTGCCTTCAATGTAGCTGTGAAGTTTTGTAAAGCCAGTCTGGATGGCTGAATCCCAGTCCATAGATTCAACGGATGTGCTGACCCACTTGGCTGGTCCATAGTGTCGGATCTCGTAACTATTGGGCTAAAGGAGAATAGAGAAAACTTCGGGAAGTAATTCTCGGAGGGCAGGATGCAAGAAGTAACAACACAGGTGCCTGGAGCTGGGGTCCACATGGGAGCAGATCAGCCCTGGGGTCCGGTCCGAGGTCTTTGCTCCGTAGTCTCTCCCTTGCCGGTCTCCCATCCTTGGGGTTAAGACCGTGGTGGCCGAGCTCACACTCTCACGGACGGGGTTCAGCCCAAGTTCAAAACAAGTCTGTGTTATGCCCTTCAGCCAGGAGAGACCCACTGCAGATTCTAAAAGGTGAGAAATTTCTTTTTTTTTTTTAACCTCAAAACAAATGGAGGAATGGGTGATACTAGGGTGAAACAACTTTCCTGTTGGTACAGAATGTACTTTTTAAGTTCGACCGTGGGACTCTGGTCTCCCTGCAGATCAGTCATAAAGGCAATCTTCCACCCTCAGGGCCCACCCCCATCCCCCGCCCCATCTCACCTCCAAATCCGCGGGCAGCGCCTACCTGGGGGTCTACGTCCTCCGGGGCCTTCCAGTCCGGCGTCTCCAGGGCTCGGGCCCCGGTGTCAGGATTGGGCCCATCGGCCATGAGCGGCGCCGACATCGGATGTAAGAGTCAGGGCCGGCCAGCACCAAGGGCCACCAGCGCCCGGATCGCCGTGTGCTTACACCACAGCTTGTGCCCCGCCCGAGCAGTACAGGCGTTGAGTCCCCGCCCCGGGCTGCGGACGCTCCTCCTCTCTGCCGCTGCACCGCAGACCCGAGCAGAGGGCCAGGGCCTGCCTCCCGGGAGGGGGCGCTCCCACCAAGAAGCGCCCGGTCCCCTCCGCAGGGAACTCATTCCGGGGTCCGGAGAAAGGCCGGTAGGGTCCGCTTAAGCACGGCATTCTTTGGGGGTCCGTCCTGTCCTGCCTTATTTTAATGAACCGGCAAGAAGTGGTTGACACATTGGGGAGCCGTGGGTGGAGGAGCACAGAGCCGCTGGCTGGCGGACATTCTGGTGGGACCAGTTCGGGAGCCTCGCCCACGGCTCCACCCATATTGGAACCAGTTCTGCAGACAGGCTAATTCCCAGGACCTGCCCCTTGTGGGTGCTTCTGCGAGGCCTGCACTCACTGAATGGAGGGAAAGAGTCTATTCTAGGGCTGTGAGGTGGGCACCTGCCAATTCTGACCTTGTTCGCGGTGGTCCCTTCATATTAGAAGGCGACCTACAGGGCCCTTCGCGGAGGAGGTGGATTGGGTTACAGTGCTACCCCAAGAATCTGAAATGACCTTGTTTCTTGACCTTTCCCGGAATTACTTCAAACCCTAGAATCAGCACACCACGTAGCAGGCAGGGCAGGAGGGTGGAGCTAGCGAGAGCTGCCAGGGCCCGATGCTTTGTTGTTGTTAACTCATTTCCACTCTTTAGCTATTATGACTAACGATACTATGGCTGTTTATGTGCCAGTTTTTGTGCAGCCATCTCTTGGGCATTGCAGGATCACATGGCAGTTATATTTCATGTTATAAGGAACTGCCAAACTGTTTCACATAGTGGCTACACCATTTTACTTTACTAACCAGCGGAGTATGAGGATTCTGATTCTTCCGTATTCTCACCAACACCAGCTATTACTTTATTATTATTATTATTATTAAAGCCATCTGAGTCCTGGTGTGGTGCCATGGGTTAATGTGCTGAAGTACAGTCGGTTTGAACCGCAAGAACGGTGGTTCAAGCTCACCAGCCACTCCTTGGAACCATTATACCAGGTGGTGTTGTTTAGTGCTGTCAAGTCGATTCCGACCCACAGCGACCCTGTATAGGGTTTCCAAGGAGCAGCTGGTGAGCTTGAA